AAGAGTTGCAGATGTTTATATAACTCGTCCCACCCACCAATCTATCTATCTATCTATCTATCTATCTAGCTATCTATCTATCTATCTATCTATCTATCTATCTATCTATCTATCTATCTATCTATCTATCTATCTATCTATCTATCTATCTATCTATCTATCTATCTATCTATCTATCTATCTATCTATCTATCTATCTATCTATCTATCTATCTATCTATCTATCTATCTATCTGGCCGCCTATGACTTCAAGCTCTCTTGGCCGTTTCGATAGTGGTATCAATACCAAACTTGGTATGACATAACATGACCACATGAAGAACACATTTCACTAGTCATAACATCAAAATCATGACATGTATGTCATGGATGTCATGATTTACATTTCATGGTCCTGCAGCACTTGCGGTGGTTCCGTTTGCATGGCATGATGCAAAACTGGTTTGGCATGACATGATTGCATGGCGAACACAAGCGTCAGACCCTAACATGAAAACCATAAGATTGGTGTCATGTAGCAGCATGACTACATGCCACGCTGATGATGCGCTCGCGGCCGTTTCGCTTGCGTCACATACACCAAATTTGGCATTACAGTGCGTGAATGGGTGATGAAGGTACGTGGCTGGTTCAAACATGATCATCATGAGACACGTTTCATGTAACAAACATGACTACATGCCACGCTCATGGTGCATCGGCGGCCATTTCGCCAGCTTCACTTATACCAAACTTGGTATTACGCGACGCGAACGGACGACATAAGTAAATGACACGTCCAAACATGATAATCACGGCATGCGTGTCACTTAAGAACATGACTACATGCCACAGTCAAGGTGCCGATACATACGTGACGCGGTGCGCGTGCTCGCCGGCGTTCATTTCGTCGCGTCACGCCGGCGTTGCCAAGCCAGGCGCCGGTCCTGCCAAAACTAGCTGGCGCGCTCCGCGCTGCGTTGCTTTAACGCATGCGCGTTTCAGCGCGTCCGGCATCCCTCCGTCACAAAAAGAGGGAGACACAGTGTTGTCGGAGTAACGCATTGGAGCGAAATGCAGCTTGTCGCATTTCACGCAGGTTGCCGTTCGGCCGCGCCGACGGACGCTGGTCGCGCCGGTCGCGCCGGTCGCGCCGGGCGTCAGACTATAGAGTGCTCGCGTTTTGCTAACGTAGCGTAACTGTGCCCCGCGTGCGCGCGCGTCCACGCTACGTCGGAGTATATTGGGCCCTTCATGATGCACTCGCGGCTCTTTTGCTAGCTCCACATATGCCAAATTTGGTGTTACGTGACGTCAATAGAGGACAAAATATATGACTGGTGCGACTTGATAATCCTCACACGTGTGTCATGTAAGAACATGACAACGTACCCCACTCATAGCGTGCTCGCGGCCATTTCGCAATCTCCACATATACTGAATTTGGTATCACGTGACGTGAATAGATGACGAAGGTAAACGACACATGCAAACATGATGGTCATGACACAGAAGTCATGTACGGCATCATTTACCTCCACGTCGTAACGTTGTGCTGATTTTAAAGTGACATATTAACCTTTATCATTCGTGCTTCGCATATCATCGATTCCCACGGTAGGCGGGATCTGCAAATTTTAGATGCGGAGCATCTTATACTCGCGCCTTGTAGTGCGCCGTCCGCACCGCTTCTCGAACATTCGACAGCTGACGCGCGCGCATGCGCCGTCGCGCCGTCGCCCACTCTTCCACCATCTGTGCATCCCTTCCTCCTCTACACACCGCGCGCGCTTCACTCCTCCACCATCTGTGCACCCTTCCTCCTCTACACACCGCGTTCGACATCTACAATTCTCCTGATTCTCCAGTGGACGCGCATGTGGCGTCGCGCTTCGAGAACATTCAAGAGCTGACAGTGCATGCGCCGTCGTGCTGTATATATACTCAAGGCCGCTCGTCGGTTGGTTTGTACGGCGCGCCGACGTCCAAGGTCGCGGTGAAATGAATTCCAACGAATCCACAAACACAATGATCGACGTCCCTTCGACCAGCGCCGCCCTTTCGCATACGTGTGTACGTGTTCACTTATTTAACACCCCCTCCTACAACCACGTTAACCAATTTAGCCATCGACCCAAGTAAGTCGCAATTTAACACCCCATTTCACAACCACGTTAACCAATTTAGCCATCGACCCAAGTAAGTCGCACTTTAACACCCCGTTAACCAATTATATGGTCCGCATCCTCCTCAGTGTTCCCCCGAGGGAAGCTGCGGGCAATTTTTTTCCCCACTGTTTCCCGAAATAACAGGTATCGTAGGGTCGACTCCAACTGCAGCAGCCTGAAAACTGGCCTCATTTTTGCACTGAACATCAAGTGGCGTCTGAGAAGGCACGCCGATGCTGTTAGCAAAGCAGTGCGCTGCGCCTTTCGAAGCACCCGGTTCCTGCACCAGCGGCAATGTCAACGCGCAGCATAGCGTCGCATCGACAATCGAGCTTTTTTTGTGCGCTTCGTC